GTGTGTTGGTGTGTGTATTGGTGAGTGTGTTGGTGTGTCTATTGGTGTGTGTATTGGTGTGTGTATTGGTGAGTGTGTTGGTGTGTATTGGAGTGTGTGTTTGGTGTGTGTATTGGTGAGTGTATTGGTGTGTGTGTTGGTGTGTGTATTGGTGTGTGTGTTGGTGAGTGTATTGGTGTGTGTGTATTGGTGTGTGTGTTGGTTTGTGTGTTGGTGTGTGTTTTGGTGAGTGTGTTGGTGTGTGTGTTGGTGAGTGTGTTGGTGTGTGTATTGGTGTGTGTGTTGGTGAGTGTATTGGTGAGTGTGTTGGTGTGTGTATTGGTGTGTGTGTTGGTGAGTGTATTGGTGTGTGTGTTGGTGTGTGTGTGTGTGTATGTTGGTGTGTGTGTTGGTGTGTGTATTGGTGAGTGTGTTGGTGTGTGTGTTGGTGTGTGTATTGGTGAGTGTATTGGTGTGTGTGTTGGTGTGTGTGTGTTGGTGTGTGTATTGGTGTGTGTGTGTGTTGGTGTGTGTGTATTGGTGTGTGTGTATTGGTGAGTGTGTTGGTGTGTGTGTTGGTGTGTGTATTGGTGAGTGTGTTGGTGTGTGTGTGTGTTGGTGAGTGTGTTGGTGTGTGTATTGGTGAGTGTGTGTTTTGGTGTGTGTGTTGGTGTGTGTGTGTTGGTGTGTGTGTTGGTGAGTGTGTTGGTGTGTGTGTTGGTGAGTGTATTGGTGAGTGTGTTGGTGTGTGTATTGGTGTGTGTATTGGTGAGTGTGTTGGTGTGTGTGTTGGTGTGTGTGTGTGTTGGTGTGTGTGTTGGTGAGTGTGTTGGTGTGTGTGTTGGTGAGTGTATTGGTGAGTGTGTTGGTGTGTGTGTTGGTGTGTGTGTTGGTGAGTGTATTGGTGTGTGTATTGGTGTGTGTGTGTTGGTGTGTGTGTTGGTGTGTGTGTTGGTGAGTGTGTTGGTGTGTGTGTTGGTGTGTGTGTTGGTGTGTGTATTGGTGTGTGTGTTGGTGTGTGTATTGGTGTGTGTGTTGGTGTGTGTGTTGGTGAGTGTGTTGGTGTGTGTGTTGGTGTGTGTGTTGGTGTGTGTATTGGTGTGTGTGTTGGTGTGTGCATTGGTGTGTGTGTTGATGTGTGTGTTGGCGAGTGTGTTGGTGTGTTTTGGGCGATAGCGCAGCGCTAAGTGCGCTGCGCTATGAACCTGGCGACCCGGGTTCGATTCCCGCTCACGGCCAACACCAGTGACGATTATCTGAACCGGTCCCGGGCCTCCCCTAGGTCGACTCAGCCTCAAATGAGTACCTGGTGCGGTGTGTAAACATCGCCACTAGGGAGACAAAGGCGGTCGGGCGTGGTGCTGGCCACCCACCCCCTCGTGTACCGTACCGGCCTTCATAGGTGCTCGCTAACAGCACTTGCCCATACAGTCTGTTACAGGCTATATGGGGGATCTTTGTCTTTGTCTTTGTATTGGTGAGTGTGTTGGTGTGTGTGTTGGTGTGTGTATTGGTGAGTGTGTTGGTGTGTGTGTGTGTGTTGGTGAGTGTGTTGGTGTGTGTATTGGTGAGTGTGTGTTTTGGTGTGTGTGTTGGTGTGTGTGTGTTGGTGTGTGTGTTGGTGAGTGTGTTGGTGTGTGTGTTGGTGAGTGTATTGGTGAGTGTGTTGGTGTGTGTATTGGTGTGTGTATTGGTGAGTGTGTTGGTGTGTGTGTTGGTGTGTGTGTGTGTTGGTGTGTGTGTTGGTGAGTGTGTTGGTGTGTGTGTTGGTGAGTGTATTGGTGAGTGTGTTGGTGTGTGTGTTGGTGTGTGTGTTGGTGAGTGTATTGGTGTGTGTATTGGTGTGTGTGTGTTGGTGTGTGTGTTGGTGTGTGTGTTGGTGAGTGTGTTGGTGTGTGTGTTGGTGTGTGTGTTGGTGTGTGTATTGGTGTGTGTGTTGGTGTGTGTATTGGTGTGTGTGTTGGTGTGTGTGTTGGTGAGTGTGTTGGTGTGTGTGTTGGTGTGTGTGTTGGTGGGTGTATTGGTGTGTGTGTTGGTGTGTGTATTGGTGTGTGTGTTGGTGTGTGTGTTGGTGAGTGTGTTGGTGTGTGTGTTGGTGTGTGTGTTGGTGGGTGTATTGGTGTGTGTGTTGGTGTGTGTATTGGTGTGTGTGTTGATGTGTGTGTTGGTGAGTGTGTTGGTGTGTTTTGGGCGATAGCCCGGCGACCCGGTTTCGATTTCCGCTCACGGCCAACAGCGGTGACGATTATCTGAACCGGTCATGGGCCTCCCCTAGGTCGACTCAGCCTCAAATGAGTACCTTGTGCGCTGTGTAAAAACATTGCCACTGGGAAGACAAAGGTGGTCGGGCGTGGTGTTGGCCACCCACCATCTCGTCTGCCATGTCGGCCTTCATAAGTGCTTGCTAACAGTACTTGCTCCAAAAGTATGTTAAGGCTATATGGGGGACATTTGTCTTTGTTTATTGGGAGCCGTGTTGGCAAGATATTAACTCCCTCGCATGGTATGCAGGAGGTCGTAGGTACGACCCTGACGCCTGTATTTTCGGTGTGTGCATGTCTCTCTCCCCTTGGTTGCATGGATTTGTCTCCGGGTCCTCAACATTTAGAAACGTGCGTTTCTAGTTTTTGGCTGATATAAATGTCCACATGATAAGCCACTTCGTTGATCTATCATTTGTGGCCAGGTCTCTTCTGAAAAAGAGCTACATAGCATCAGTGGGTCTTACCTGATAAAATACAAGTCTCAAGATGGGAACGAGGAGAATAAAAATTAGCATTCAGCTCTCATAAAGCGGCCTTGAAACATTACAAAGTGTGAATCTGGCAAAGTTGAACAGATACGTTTCCCTTGCGGAAATGAAAAATAAAAAATATATTCTTCTCTGGTGCAGGCAACCGCAAGCAACCGCAAGCAGCCATTGTTCCTTCCATGCACTGCGTGTGAACACGAGCATGGTTGGTGTAATACAACGGTGGTCCTCAACCCCTGGGGATGAGAGCGCAGGCTCTGGCATGGATAACGTGCAGGCGAAATTTTGAATGCGGACAGGCGCCGGTCCCCACGTTACGGCGGCGAAACACGACGATGGACGCGGTGAAGACAAAAACCCTACGAATGCACAGCGGCGAAACGAATACCTCACCGACGCTGCTGTTGACACGTGATCTCCCTGCGTCGTCGTGGGCTTCAGTAACCTCAGGTTGTGTTTTTGGCTGCGCGGGGGGAGGGGGGAGTGTGAGGAGCAGTGGTCTTGAATGGGAGGGGGGGGGGGGACCGCCCGAGTGAAGCGATTGAGCACCGGTAGTTTAAGGAAGTTCTGATGGTGGCTTCTGGTCACGGTTGAATTGCGTTCAACTACACCTGCCGTTTGACTTCACTCCGTTGTTTAAAGTCGCTTCCACAAATAATACATCTGGGGTGTGATTTAAAAATTATCTATAGTTTTACAAAATGTGATAGGTCAACAACCTCCCTTGTTACCCTGTGGTTGCATCCATCTGTGCTTGATCAACCAACCCTTCATACATCCAATTATCGTTGTCAGAGGCATGAACGACCACCACAAGCACCAGCACCACCCATTACTGCGTGCAAAACTCACCAGGTGTTGCTGTGAAGCATAATGGGAAAAGCAAACATAAGCAGAACTCAACTCCGTTCGTACGTCCGCCTATTGGCGTTGCAGAAACACAATCATCAAGCGGCATTTGTTTAAAACAACCACGGACCGATTTTAAAACGCCTGATTCTCATCAACAGAGTCGGGCTTGTCAAGCAATTGCCACGGCGATTACCAAACTGCACCGGCAAGAGCCACCCATTAGGTGCATTCAAAAATAAGCGCAAGCATCCTCGACACTTCAATGTCTTAAAAGTGTTGCGCCATTCGACAGGCTCATTCCACCCTTACCCAGAGCTTCTAATGATGAGTCCGCGAGAGCATCATATCGCCCGGCCTTTGAGACGATAATTTGTCATCACTGGCCCAAACAGAGTGGTGGGGAAGGTCAGCTACAGGTGCCAGTCACACGCATTAGCTGTTCAAGTGATTGCAGGAGGAAAATGGAAGTTATTCAGCACTCGGGCTGATAAATAAGTTTTTTTTCTGTTGTTCCTCGACTCCTGATACAAACAAAAAAGCCCTGTCCATTCGATTCGTTGAGAAAGTCAAGGTGCAGCCCTGCAATTACTTCCTCACTGCCCTGCCGGCAGAAGGGCCTCCACGAGAGGCAGGACTAGACTTTAAACAACTTTTATTGCCGCCAGCAGCAAAAGCACTGGAGGCGATTTCGATATGAAATACACAAAGTCACCAGCAACACAAATGAAAATAAACGTTACAAATCCACGCGCTGTGGCGCTAAAAAGCACCGCGCACAACATGAAAGAAAAGTCACGTGGTGGTGGTTGTGGTGGTCATTCGCGCACGCCACGTTGACGAGCGAGCGCTTCAGAAGGTGAACACGTGGGGTGGTGCCGTCCACGCTGGTACAGAGAGGGGCTTGTCCGGCTCCCCAGCGTTCGAAGAAGACGCGCTGCACATCACCGACACGTGTGTGGTACATGGCGTGCTCCAGCCGGAGCCGCGCTTTGAGCAGGCCTCTGAACACTGGAAGCAGCACAGAGCAGCCGTCAGTGTCACCTTGCAGCGTCTTTTTTCTCGTTCTGTACACCGCCAACTTCGCCTGAGCACAGGCGAAGTTGGCGGGAGTAGACAGCCCCGCCAGTGTGTATTTTGGCCTACTCTTCCACGCTGACGTCACGTGTGGGTACAGGTGGGAGTAGCCAACCCCACCGCGCGCGACCGGCCGATCTGAACTAACTGTAATCACAATGGGTTAGCTGATCAGCTAACCCATTTATACTGCTGGGTGGACAGAGGCGGTGGGTGGTGGCGGTGGGAGGGGGTGTTTAAACAAACTTGCCCCATTGTTTCAACCTCTCAGCCGGAAGATTGAACCGAAACAGCGACCCACACTGAATAGCAATTCCAGTGTGACAACCATTCCACCGTGGCAGCATCCTGGAAACATCGACCCAACTGTAAATCCCTGAGCGCGTACTGTACATTACAAAATCTATACCTCCTATCGTCTTCACCTGTGTCTGGGTGTGCGTGACACACGGGTTTAATCAATCATTCATATCCTTGGAATTGCCAAGAATTGTATGGCAACTTTGTCACACTCCTCCTCCCTCCTCCTCCTTCTCCCCACCCCCCTCTCCCCGCCCTCTCTCCTCAATTCCCGTTCGGTGATTCTGCACCTGCTCTATTACTATAGTACTATACTGCCCGCAACTTTTATTATCTGGCTGTATAGCAAATTACCAAAAATACAATTACTTTACCTTGCAAGTGAAAAAAAACGATCTGTATGTTTAAATATTTACGTGTTTTTATTTATTTATCTAGGACCCCTTTATAACGTACGCTACGGGCCCCGCACGAGCTTCATCCGGCACTGGAGGCACAGCAACGCGCCGGCCACAGACGAACCGTGCAATCACTTCGCTGAGCTCGTCATCGGAGGGTAAACCGACATCACGCGCGAACTAGCGATGTCGTCCTCCCAGCGACAGCGGCTTCTTGGCTGGCCATCGGACAAGGACGGTCGCCGCATCGCGCGCTTTCGGGTGCGCTTCGGCGGCCGTCTGGAACGCTCTTCCTTCCGATGTTAGGAAGCCCGCTGTAGCTATGCACTTTTTAATCATCGCTGATTTCAAACTTTTTTTTCTCGAGAGCTTCTTTCGTGTTTAGTTTTATTGTCCTTTCCCCGCACCTCCGATTTGCACGGTTAGCTGTATACGGTGCAAAAGAAGTTCAACATACATGCATAGTCTTCATCAGCCATATTCAACCCACTGTTGGATGAAGGACTTCCCAAACTGGGCCACCTCTCACGATCCCACGATGTAACAATCCACTGCGCACCCGCGCGTGAACTCGGTTTCATCGTTCCATCTCATCGGTGGAGGTCATCTCGGACACGTTCCATTCCTTGGCTATCACTCCGTTATTATTCTTGACCATCGGTCATCGTTGCGGCGCCTGTGTGGCGAGATGTTCACTACCTGGCCTTGTATACGGGAGGTCGTGGGTGCGGTCCCGACCCTGACGCCTGCTGCTGTATATTTGGACTTTGCGTGTTCTCCCCGTGGTCGTGTGGATTTTTCTCCGGGTCCGCGGGATCTTCAACTCCACATTAAGAATCATGCATTTAGAGTATTTGGCTGCGATACATTTCCACGTGATAAGCCACTTCGTTGCACTATCATTTGTGGCCAGGTAGCTTATGAAAAAGAGCTATGTCGCTAAGTGGGCCTCACCTGGTAAAATAAAACGTTTAAAATATATAGTTTTCTAGCCTACTTGATCAATTTCAATGATGTCATGAACCTGCAGTATGTTTTCTAATCTACGCGTTCCTCTTTATGTTAATTTAACATGGGCAGTTATTATTGTACATTAATTCGGTACAATAAATGTTGTGGTGAGATAAATGAAAAATATTTGGTGCAATGTCACTGTACACAATGGCCCCATCTCTTGTGACTGTGTCACTGGGGCTTCATAGAATACGACACACACGACGGTGATTCCCTGCAGAATGTGCAAGGCAGGTAGGGGAATTTAGGATTTGGCTCTGTGCAAACAGACTTAGAAGTGAGCAACCTGATCGTTGACCAGACCACTAAGCCACTCATTTCTATAGAGTTTCATCCTGTAGGTGGCCAGTTGGCTTATATGCGGACTCATGCAAAGGTGTATGTGTATGATTTAAGGGGAGGGTGTGTGTGAAGCATTGGCGCATTGGTAGAGCACACGTGGCTATAAACAGCATTTTGTGTTGGAGTTCCAGTGATGGCTTACATCAACGCTGAGTGATATCCAAAACTATTCCAGACCTCCCCTAGATCAACTCGGCCTAAAAAAAAGGACGTGGCGCTCTGTGGAAACATCAGCTCTGGGAAGACAAAGGTGGTCAGGCATGTAGTGCTGGCCACACTACTCCTTTTGGTACTGTGCCTGTCTTAATAGGTGCTCACTAACAGCCCTTGCCCCAACAGTCTTTATGGCTATCCTGGTGATCTTTGTCCTTGTGTGTGCGTACACATACAGTGAGGGAAAAAGTATTTGATCCTCTGCTGATTTTGTACGTTTGCCCACTGACAAAGAAATGATCAGTCTATAATTTTAATGGTAGGTTTAGATGAACAGTGACAGACAGAATAACAATAAAAAATCCAGAAAAACGCACGTCAAAAATGTTATAAATTGATTTTCATTTTAATGAGGGAAATAAGTATTTGACCCCTTGGTGGCAAAACCCTTGTTGGCAATCACAGAGGTCAGACGTTTTTTGTAGTTGGCCACAAGGTTTGCACACATCTCAGGAAGGATTTTGTCCCACTCCTCTTTGCAGATCTCCTCCAAGTCATTAAGGTTTTGAGGCTGACGTTTGGCAACTCGAAACCTTCAGCTCCCTCCACAGATTTTCTATGGGATTAAGATCTGGAGACTGGCTAGGCCACTCCACGACCTTAATGTGCTTCTTCTTGAGCCACTCCTTTATTGCCTTGGCCGTGTGTTTTGGGTCATTGTCATGCTGGAATACCCATCCACGACCCATTTTCAATGCCCTGGCTGAGGGAAGGAGGTTCTCACCCAAGATTTGATGGTTCATGGCCCCGTCCATCGTCCCTTTGATGCGGTGAAGTTGTCCTGTCCCCTTAGCAGAAAAACACCCCCAAAGCATAATGTTTCCACCTCCATGTTTGACGGTGGGGATGGTGTTCTTGGGGTCATAGGCAGCATTCCTCCTCCTCCTCCAAACACGGCGAGTTGAGTTGATGCCAAAGAGCTCCACTTTGGAGATCATTTTACCACAACACTTTCACCCAGTTGTCCTCTGAATCATTCAGATGTTCATTGGCAAACTTTAGACGGGCATGTATGTGCTTTCTTGAGCAGGGGGACCTTGCGGGCGCTGCAGGATTTCAGTCCTTCACTGCGTAGTGTGTTACCAATTGTTTTCTTGGTGACTATGGTCCCAGCTGCCTTGAGATCATTGACAAGATCCTCCCGTGTAGTTCTGGGCTGATTCCTCACCGTTCTCATGATCATTGCAACTCCACGAGGTGAGATCTTGCATGGAGCCCCAGGCCGAGGGAGATTGACAGTTCTTTTGTGTTTCTTCCATTTGCGAATAATCGCACCAACTGTTGTCACCTTCTCACCAAGCTGCTTGGCAATGGTCTTGTAGCCCATTCCAGCCTTGTGTAGGTCTACAATCTTGTCCCTGACATCCTTTGAGAGCTCTTTGGTCTTGGCCATGGTGGAGAGTTTGGAATTTGATTGATTGATTGCTTCTGTGGACAGGTGTCTTTTATACAGGTAACAAGCTGAGATTAGGAGCATTCCCTTTAAGAGTGTGCTCCTAATCGCAGCTCGTTACCTGTATAAAAGACACCTGGGAGCCAGAAATCTTTCTGATTGAGAGGGGGTCAAATACTTATTTCCCTCATTAAAATGCAAATAAATTTATACATTTTTGACGTGCGTTTTTCTGTTATTCTGTCTCTCACTGTTCAAATCAACCTACCATTAAAATTATAGACTTAACATTTCTTTGTCAGTGGGCAAACGTACAAAATCAGCAGGGGATCAATACTTTTTTCCCTCACAGTAAAGGGGTGTGGGGAGCGGTAGTGTAGCGGTTAGCGCTCTGCGCTATGAGCCCGGCGACCCGGGTTCGATTCGCGCTCATGGCTAACACCAGCGACGATTTTCTGAGCTGGTCCTGGCCCCCCCCTAGCTCAACTCAGCCTCAAATGAGTACCTGGTGGGGTGTGTGAACATCGCCACTGGGGAGACAAAGGCGGCCGGGCGTGATGTTGGCCACCCACTCCATCGTGTGCCATGCCGGCCTTCACAGGTACTCACTAAAAAGCACTTGCCCCAACAGTCTGGCCAGGTGTTAATGTCCGGAGCCTATTCTTGGCCTCCCTAATGTTGATTTGGCTTAACGAGGACCTGGAGCAGTGTGTTAACATCGCCACTGGGGAGATGGATGCGGCCAAGCGAGGCATTTGCCAAGCCATCCCCCTCGTGTGCTGTGCCGACCTTAACAGGCACTCACCAATTTAGATCTGAGAAAAGCCTGAATTGAGAATCTCTGGGGGTTTTTTTTGTAACGTGCATGCACATTTTTACATGCACTATCCATAAATCGGCAGTTCCCATTATGTGGGTCACGCCACCCAAAAGTTTTTCAGGTGAGGCACAGGCTGTGGGGGCATTGATATCGTGCATGAGAAATGTTGAATTATGCGTGGGGAAATGTCAGCGCCACGTTACGATGACAAAACACGCTTCATTTTCAACGTGCAATGAGTGCCTTGCACAAAAGTCACTACTGCACAGCATGGCAAGAAATGCCTTACTAACTCAAAGGACACTGCTGCACGGCACGAAACAAAATCCCCGTCTCACCAAACACACGTCGATGTATAACGCATGGAAAATATGTGGACACGTGATATATCTGTAATGTGGCCTCGGTAACTTTGGTTGTGGTTTGGGGGCTGGCAAGGGATTTGGGGGTGTTCGGACCAGCGCCCTTAATTGGGGGCTCGCCAGACCACGGAGATTGAGGACCACAGCTATAAATGTATACATGAGGTGTATTAGAGTTTAAAACAATTTAAAAACTATATATAGCTAAAAATGACTATATATATTTTTTATTATACTAGATAAGGTACACTGAGCTATGCAGTTCTTTTTTAGAAGCGACCTGGCCACAAATGATAACTCAACGAAGTGGCTTATCACGTGGCCATCTATAGCAGCCAAATAAACGCATGTTGATTTGAAATGTGGAGGGTAGGAGGACCCGGAGAAAAATCCACGCGCCCACGTGGAGAGAAAACACGACCTCCTGTAGACCAGGCGAGGTAGTTAACAGCTCGCAGACAAGTGGCCTTACCGCTCGCTCGAATGCAACCGATACCCACACGTTGGGAATACACCTGGAGGTCACGGGGTCACCCGTGCAGACTTTCGCTGATTTCAGGCGCAGCGCTGTCAATATTTGAATTGTCCCGGCAGAAAGCTGCTACGATTGTCTGAATGGCGCGGCCTGCCGAAGCACTATTCAAAAGATGCGACGTTGGCGTCATGTGTAAACACGTACCGAGTTCGTAGACGATTTAGGCATCACAGGCAGGACTGATGTGGGGAGGCATTTATCGTGCATTTCTGTTTTGTTTGTTAACCCTGTTGATGATATTGTGCGAGCGGCAAACAAAATAAGTGACTAAATGAGCAGGCAATACGCCTCGCTCACCGTGTGACTCTCCGCATAAAACATGAAGTTGTATTAACACATCATCCCATTGGGTTAATACAAGCAAAATGTTGGACCGGTTTCAACATTCAGTGCCTCATCAACAGTTGAGTCTTGTCTAAACCAATGCTCGTGAACTTGCGCCAAGTTTTTAGGCAAGGTCCGAGTTCCGCTGGAAACTG